CTCTACCTGGGCCCCAAGAGTATGTAAAATAATGGTCTTTACGGCTATTATTATGGGTTTAGGGCTATTATTTTACATACTTTTGGGGTTTAGGTAGATGATCGTAGAATAGGTTCTCAAGGTGTATGTTGGCATGGTTTCCTGAAGTTGGACGGAACGCGTTCAGTAGTTGATGCTGTCATGATGGCAAATTGCGCGCGTGCATTCTTGCTATAGGAAAATTGAATTAACTGCCGCATGCTCTATACAAGCTTTGCCTTGGCACGCTGAGCCCTAAACCCTAAGCATGAATGGGAGCTGAGCATAACACGTTGTATAACATATTTATATATATATATAAGATTTATGATGGAAAGACCCAGGCTTGAAATATTCCACCTAGACAGCGCAACTCTCCTCCTGGTTCCTTGGCTATACCCAGATCGCTTCCTGCCCCTACCGGTCTGGCGGGGCCGGAGGATCTTTAGAAGCTTCTGAATTACGAGCAAGTATATAACAGACTATATACTATATAATGCATTATATGACAGACTTAATGCTCGATTACATAACGATGGGGATCTTCCATCATTACCCGGACCTGAAGAACTGCCCAAAACCTGCAATAATTTGAAAAAAAGGCTACTCCGCGACTTACTTTGCAGTTCCAGATAAGAAAAAACATACTCCAGAATAATGTTTCAACGAGGCCCAGACTCTTGCGGGCTTATCTATCTTAACACACCCAATTAAGGACCCATAGTGAGGACCCAGGAAACTAGTTAGGAGGCGTGGGCCTTCAGTCTCATGGAAGGGTTTGCATGGCATTGCATGACTGCAGCCGAGGAAACCCAGCAAAGAATGCGCCTGATTTTCCACGCAAGCAAGGGAATTCCCGTTGAACGACTACAGTCCCGGAAGCCCAAATCCCTAACTCCACCTGAACCCAGTTTTGCCTTGGCAAAGAGCTGCTGGACCAGCATGGGTTGGTCGTTTTGGGCTGCCTTGGCGCACGTGAAATGTGCGCCGGCTGTACTATTACTTGCGTCTAAAGGTTTTAGGGTTTGGGGTCTCGGGCTGAATCCAACACTCTCTCAATGACTTTTGCAAGTACTGCAACAAGAACTCCTGCTTTGAACTGTCAATCGTAAACCCTTCCTGTAGAACTTGTTCAGATTTCAAGCTTTGTCCTGTATTCGAGACTTACTGGTGAGTAGAGAAGAAAGGAATATGAGCACTAACTTTAGTCCCTATATACTATATTCTATTATTTCCCTACTAATCCTAATCTGAAACTCCTGAATCCTGACCCCTAAATCCAAAATCCTAAGCCCCAAACCCTCAACCCTATACAGTCCACTTTTCCCTACTAACCCCAGTAAGGAGGCCTCTCCACAGCTTGCGGTGCAGGAGCAGCAAACACATACTTGTAGAAGAAGTTTGATATCCCAGCCCCAAAACTTTGGCTTCCCAAAATGAGTTATAGTCTAAACTCCTAGTATCCCCCGTAATAACCCCTATAGTATTCCCCTACATAATCCCTATATGTTTAGACTATATAGCTCACATGGGTTTGGTATTTAGTGTTTGGTGTGTAGGGGTTCAGGGTTTTTGGGTTTAGGGTTTTAGGGCTTAGGGTTTTAGGGTTTAGGTTTTTAGGTTTTTTGGGTTTAGGGTTTTAAGGTTTAAGGTCACGGTGGCGCCCAGATGTGTGGCATCTTGGCACCCGCCCCGTTGGCACAATGCAGAACGCAAGGGCGATCTGAGAATCCAAAATACTGTGGAGTAATGTCCTGTCTTAACTCGGGTTTTCCGTGCGTAGCCTTTGATCCTGAACCCTAAACGTCGTCTTTCTGTCCTCAGGCCGGGACCCAGTGTAGCAGCGTGAAGCCTCTCGTCCACTGCCTTTAGCCCCCGAGGGAAAGTTTCCATGTTTGTCTTGGACACAGTTTGGTTTAGGGCTTAGGGCGTAGGATGCAGCGTCTGAGGTGCATGGGTATCCTTAAAAAGCCCGGGATGCTGGGGACTATTTACAACAGCTTACAGGTTCACCTTTGAGGAGTATATAAGGACTACGTTGATAAACGCCGACGTCGCAACGAGCAGTCCCCGACAGGAATTCAGACCTTCGAGTCCATTTGGTAGCCTCCATTAATAGGGGGACGCAATGTAGAGCTCAATATACTATAAGCCTTATTTTGGGGACCCCCCAAATAAATACACCTGATTTCGGGAAATCCTATGCCCTAAACCCTTAGAGTCCATTTGGGTCACTCTGACGATTGGCCATCTCATCTTGTGTTGCACTGTGCTTGCTCTACCACAAGATACTTCGGCACAACGTCATGCGCAAGAGGGATTTCCTGATGCTTTGGATTCTTCCCTGTGGCTCCAATAACCTACAGTTTAGTAGTAACTACCCTTTTATTAGTAGGTATAACCCATAAAACTGTAGGTTATTGGGGTTACAGGTCATGAATCTTCGGAAGGGCGCGTGTTTTGCGGGCCTTCAGCAGGCCAGAAGACTGTTCCAACAAACAAAGCTGCGTGGTTGGCTAGGTCATGCCCTTTGGAGTCCCAAGTTCCACATGCAGCAATAGGAGTTATGGCTGCTCCGTCCCCCTCCCCCCACCCATTATCCACCCTTTGGGACAGAATAGATGCTTGGGAAAGCAAAGTTGCTTTTTGTCCCCAAGGGAAAATTGGTTTCGCGTGGTCAAAAGCGAAACCAACTTTCAAAATACACATAAAGAAAACAACTTTTCGCCCCTTACCTATCGATGATGCTGAAATTGCTCCCTTTTGGTTTTGGGTCTATTTCTAACTTGTGCGAGCACAGCCCTCTATCCTGAAATAAAGCGAGCATCATCATCGATTATGCTGAAAATGCTCCTTTCTGGTCTTGGGTCTATTTCTGACTTGTGCGAGCACAGCCCTCTATCCTGAAAT